CTGTTTCGATTGTGTTCCTTGTTACAAGTTGCATGTCATACATAGTTATCGAACGAGGAGTTTTATTTTGAATCCTAAGACAAAATTGTAGGTAATGCGAGGCTGTTGTTCAGCCTCATATTGCATGAGGCTGAAACAGCCTTTTATTTCCTGTATTTTAGAGCAGAGTGCGCCTTTCGAGAATCCAGATTCCATTTCAGGAAGCCATTTGTGGTGAACATGCATCTGGTTGTCAGTTAGAGCAGGAGGGGGGGGGTCGTATCTGGACCCTCTTCGAGGGGGGGGGGTCGTACCTCACACCGCCATTTGACACATCCCCATGCTGTACCCTGCCTACATATACCGCCCCGTCTAACTGGTTAACTACACCATGCCTTCGAGTGACAACTGCAAGTGCTAAATCACTAGAGCCTCAATTTACATTTTGAATGTTTATTAAGAATCGCTGACTACAAACACATTTCTTGAGAACAAAAAAAAACTTCCTAAAAGCTGTTAGGTGACCCGCAATTAATAAGTATGACACTTGGTTTCTAGACTTCCATCCTATCCGGTATTGTCGTGACTGGTGCGACCAAGTTATCCTTTTTAGAGGCGTTGTGAGAGCAGACAGATTTTCCTCGTACCGTCACCTTAAAATGGGAAATATTGTAAGTTTGTAGAAGTACTGCACAGGATTACGTTTGGTGGGGAAACAAGTACTATCCGAATTAATGTTGGTGTCTCTCAAAAACGATGTCAACTCTTTGTAAGTATTACGTATACCCTACTCCTATGGGTTATGGGTTATACCAAGTGGATTTCGACAAATAGGTGCCAGAACTGAAGCATTCCAAGCTTGTCCTATGACGGCTTCCCATCGTGTCTTCTTCGTTTACGCCCCACACATCTTAATCATCTTCGGCTGCGTTCATACTTTGCGACACGCGCGATTCAGATGCGCTAATCGGCGACCGAGAGACATTACCTGCTCGCCTTCCAAAGCTACGTTAATCGCTGAACACTGCAGCAGTCGGAAGCAGTCTATCCTCAACGCAAATGAATTGGCATTTGCAGCTGTCCTACGATTGGCAGTCACGCGCTATCAGTCGCTATCGCGCGACAGAATCGCTCGAGTTGTGAAGTATGAATGCGGCCTAAGAGAGGAGGGCGGATGAACGAAGACGACGCAAAGATAACTCCGCCCATACCATGAGCGGTACAACGGCTTCAAAAACTGAGTCTCATGGAGATGCATTCTACTCAATTTTACTTTATGTGCCAGACTGAGTGAAGAAGCGATCAATCAATAAAAGATGCTTACCTCTAGAAAAGCCACCAACTCCACAATGCAATACATGGTAATAGTTGGCCATGTCATTATAAGATGAAAAACGTTACGAATAATCCCCGTTTTGTCTTTGGCTCCATTCGGAAATACCTGAAAATCAGTTGGATATTCTTTAGTCGGCCATCCTCTTATTACAGTAATGTAACCAAAAGTAGCAAGCTCTAGTTGATAGGACTTACAGGTTGGCATAAGTAGCTGACAAGAAATACACAGAAAAACCAGAAATACTGTAATCCAAGAAATCCGAGCATAATCCATGTGAACACATCCTGTGAGGGTATGACCAGTCCCCAAACTCCATGGTTAACAGCCGAAAGCATCGCAGGCGTCTGAAAAGCCGAATTTGAAATACTGAAAGAAACGCAGAACCTTTAGCTAAAGTATTAGTAACTACTCACCACTAAAGGTGCTACTATTGTGTACACGGACGCAATACAAAGAAGAAATCCGTAATAGAAGACAAATTTAGCGGCAAATGAAAACGAAACCATCGCAGGAAGTTGGAAAAATTTGATGACGAAATAGTGAAACACCTGAACACCGAAAATCACACTACTTTTCAAAAGAGAACCAGTAAATGATCACGACCTCTGCGGCACCAATCGTCCATCGGCGAACCTGACGTGCCCATTCGTACCATTCGTCGATGTAGTTTTTACCTACAATTATCCATTTCTTGGGACTTTTATGTTTTGAAATCGCTTTATTAATGTGGCCTACCACTTGTCGGTCCGCTGAGGGTTGCCACTGGAATCGCTCGGATGACGCATTTCCTTCTTACTGATAATGACCATCGGATTAAAGCGATGATGTCATCCATCTAAATGGTTTTATGTAAGATACTTATTCAATTTGGAGGCCTCAAGCTGTAAGTGGCAGTGGCATGTGCAGATGGGCATAGCGCACTAAGCGAATTGTACTAGGAGGGATACAGTACCTCAAACGCTGTCAAACTGGATGCATATGAGCTGCGAGTGCACTCAGCACCACCCAGTTTCCGCCTGGCTGTAGAGGGAAAAAGTCGCTCTTGCTTCCTGGCCTTATATTAGAGTTCCATCTTGCAACGTTGGAGTTCACTTGAGATTTCCGTGGGCACTGTATCCCGCATGTTTTCCTGAGCTTATAATCTTGAACAGAGGCCTCCCCGTCTGCGCCTTCTCACTGAGGTAAACCCCTTGGGCTAAGCGTGGTCTCAAAAGTGGCTGATGACCAGAATGGACGAGAATTATTTTTGCGGCGTGTCACTCCAACTACCTTAGCTCCGTGGTAATGTGAAAAAGTAATCCTTCGGAAGTTCTTCATACGAAAATTTTCTGAAATTTTTCTTATCTGGGAAATTGAAACTTCCAATGAGGAGCCTTGGGTCTTTCATTCACGTTGCCACCGTGTGTGTTGTTAACGTTGCCAGCGCACGTCACGAGCAGTTTTTTTTTGCTTTCCTATTCTACTCGATTCCAAAAGTGTTCTTTAATATTGACGCAAGTACTCATATAAGTTTTACGGGATGTGCACAGCAGTTTTTCTGCAATGTCGCCTACCCTATCCCACTTGACAATAGGATATGGAAAAAAAATAACTAATACAAAACAAATGTGGAAACTGCCAGCACCGTGAGCCTCCAAAACAGCGCACTCTTTTTTCATAAAGTATCAATGAAGAAGGCCCTTCACTGTATAAAGTTCTCCGACGATTCTCGATTATGGACGGAGCGGACCTACGGCCTGATATGTGAGACTAATAGGACTATATTGGTGCAACTTGTAGGTTTATTTATCTGAAACCCCATGCTTTTCAGAGGCATTGGGCACGATCGCTAAGGGCGGGCGGATTGCTGCCAGCGTCATTGGTGGAAGGGCTGAGTGGGTGTGGCCAAACGCTCCTTCGCAGCCCTTCCACCAGTGACGTTGGCAATAACCGCCCGCCTCCAGCAATCGTGCCCACTGACTTTGAACTCAAATCACTGTGTCCAAAGAAGGTTCAGAAGAGGCGTTTGTGAACGTGAAGCGGTTGAATTTCATTGGTGTCGAAAGAAAGTTTAATTATCGCTGGAACGAGTCTAAACAGAAGGAGCAGAAATGGCCAGCAACGAAAAATGTCACCGGCAGAAGTGAGCACATTCGATGACGTCATCAAGGGCCAAATTTGGCACCAATGTTTCGTGATGTTTCATTTTTATATGATGTGAAAATGACGTCGTTGTTCAATCATGGCTGAATCACGGTGTTTCTACACAACGCATCGAGTTGCGATGCGTAGAGAGGCGTAATGCTAGAGCAGCTTCTCACTGGGAGCCTTACTGCATGTTTAACAACAGTCGGCCCACCGTCCTCTATTTTACAGTTTTCGAAAGGAGTAGGTAAGCAGTTAAATAATAAAACGTGACCAAGTCTAACTTTTTTATTTATTTCCGTTTTTCTAGGGTGGCTGTGATGCTCCGTTCCCTTGATGATGAGCTTGACGTGAATTTTCAGACTGCTCGCGCCCGCCCACGATTCCACGGTGCTTACATTGTTGCGCATGTTAGTAGTGGAATAAAAGGTGAAGTAGTATTTAAAAAGCAAGAAACCTGATATCCTGGATGAGTGTATTCGCCATCTTCCAGAAGTTTAAGAGTTAGCGAGAAAATACTCATCGTGTTTATATTCCATGGTATCAGATATCCCATCATAAAGAAAGCCCTGAAAAAAGTTCATTCGAACAATGACGTCACTCAAGAGAAATTAAGTAAAAGGATAAAAGGATAAAGTCTTCGCCGTTAACAATGCCTATGCGGCACGCATACTTCAGTTCAGAATCGTAGTAGGTACTGAATGCAGAGTGGCCTATACAAATACTTGCGAAGGCCAGCCGGTGTACAAGCCAGTGCTCTTATACTCCTAGAGGGGTTCCAGTTTACCGTCTCCGAGGGTAGAAGGCTTTGCTGGCCTGGGCTGGGTGTCGACCTGAGATTTGAACCCACCGCGCGAGTGGTAAGCGCGCCACCTGTCGCTACACCACCTCCGCCCCAGAAACAGAAGCTAACTAGGCTTCAGAAAACAGCATAAATTGAACAAAATTCGGAAAAAAGTGTAAGTCGTTCCATACGCAGAGCGGCGACAATCTAGGTAATATATCCTAGCTAGTTGACCCGGCCCTCTGCAGCAAGTTCACTTTCTCAAATTGATTAGGTCCTGGAGCAAATGCCGCCTGCGACGCCTGCTTTGCCGCGTCAACGCAACTGGATGTAACGTCCTCCTACACCATTCAAAGAGGGTGCAAAATAAAACAGCTATAGAATAAGCTGACCTTAGTAACCCAGTGACCCTCACGAAAAATGGTGACTTGTGAAGATTGATGCAGTAGAACAGTGGTGACTGCCATACAGTACACTGCCGATTCTGGAAATTACCGTTACTTGGCTACTACTATACTGTGATCTACGATTACGCAGTACCTCTTCACTGAGTTTCAAGTAATCCTCTTCCAAAGCGTCAAAGTATCGTTCTCCGAAAATTGAGTCACAGTCACCGGTTGTCACCAACAATTCGACTTTGCGTTCTGACTTATCCAGGGGATAATTCTGGAATAATAATATTTTCCTTGAGATTCCATCACGTACAATTCCCCTTTTTTGAAAACAAATTTCTTCGAAAATTATGCAAAACTCAAAATTGCCTCACTAACTTTATCTAGCCGCAGTTGTTTGATAGCTTGCCGACATGAGTAGTTGAAATTTGAGCATTTGCCTGAAATTGACGATTTAGTGACGCTGAAAAATTGAAAAAAATTGTTTCATCGAAAAAATTCATGATGTTCAGAAATTCACCAGGAATATCGCCAGGAAGTCCTTTAGGATGGAAAGTTACGATAAAACGATCGAATCGGGACTCGTACTTCTCATGCAGCAGCCGCTTTTTCTGAAGTACTTCCCAGTAAATACGGGCGACTGTCAGAAGTATATACTATAACAATATGCAATGCTATATAAGAAATAAGCAATGTGGACGTTATTGAGGGGGAAGTGCTCACGGAGGTGTTCCTATTCTGTTCTTTTCTGGAATGTGCCAGATGCTATTCTTCCAATCGTAACCGTTGTATGCGACTGGACCTATACAGAGTGACTTGCGGGGCCTAATTATGGACAATTTTGTGTTTTATCCAACTGGATGAGGCGAACTGGTACAGCGGTAAGTGGGACTCTTACCAGGCGTCTCCAGGGGACGAATCCTGCGGGATCTTACTCACAAGGGAACCCCAACAGGTCGATCCGGCCATTTGCAGTGAGATGTATAAATATGGACGTGTCTTGAGCCGCCGAATCCAAATCTGCCCTCCGATTTTGCGGAACGATTCTCCAAAGGGAGTTACGGACCATTTAATCTTAGCTCCGTTTGCTCAAGTTGAGAAGGATAACTGCATGCGGCAAGCCGCCGATGGCCTAGTGGATAAGTGCATTGCTTCAGAGACACGAGGTCGAATGTTGGAATCCTTGGCTATCGAAATCTTTTGCTTTTCATTCAAAACACTTGGTATGAGCCCTCCGAAATTTCTATTTGGCCATTTCGCCTAATTTCTTGATTAGTTGCCAACGAAAGGCGGGCGATTCCCCATGTAGGGTTCCTCTTGAAAACTTTTTTATTATGAGGATAACCACATGTCACAAGGGTTTTTGCAATGAAATACCATCATATTCATGTTCAGCGGGTCAAACTACCCCTGGGGACAAATTTCTAGCCGAATCTGATATTTCCACCTAACTTGGAAAATGTGTGCTGTTTCATGGGTAATCGAAAGCATAGGGGGAGCTCACCTACCATTACTGGCGTGAACGCGTCTCGAGATGAACTACTCGCGATAAAGAGGACGATGATGCATATACGCGATAGAATAAGAGCAGCCGCGTAATGTCTTTGCGAAAAGGCACACTGAGAGGGTTATTTCAGTTGGAAAACCAGTCATCATCAGTATGGTAGTCGTAGTATCGCTTTGGCTATCAGTCAGCCACAGCTATTCATAACCCATTTTCTCGAAAATGAGTTAGAACCTCGGATTCCGCTGGGGTGACGTCTCTAGGGGTTATTTGACCCCCTGAACACGAATATGATACCTGTTTTGCGCGAAGAGCGCTGTGAGTTGCGCTACAGGTGCTAACGCTTTGGCGCTGGCGCGCCCGGAAGAAGAAAAGCAATAAAGAAAAACCTCACAACTCCGCTCAGAGAATCGTTCCGCAAATTTTAAAGATAGTCTTGTGTTCATCGTGGCAAGGTGAGTACAATGATGTACATTTCGTTGCAAATGGCCGGGCTGACGTGTTGGCCTTTCCTGGTCAGCTTGTGCAAACACAGCAAAGATTAAATGGTCCGTAACTCCCTTCAGAGAATCGTTCCGCAAAATCGGAGGGCAGATTTGGATTCAGCGGCTCAAGACACGTCCATATATATACATCTCATTGCAAATGGCCGGATCGACCTGTTGGGGTTCCCTTGTCAGGCCAACCAAGACTTCAATCCTTAGGCGACGGTAATGTGATACGATTCGCTTAGGAAGACAGTAACAGTGACTTCTAGCCCGACTCCCCCCCCCTCCCTTATCAATTGATCGATTCTGAATGGAAATAGGGTATGATAAAGGAGGAGTGGTAAAGTGGAGTAAACTACGCTTTACGGTATTCAATCATACCGTTATGCAGCTGATCCCTGCAAACGACGTGTGAAGAGCACGATTTGGAGCGCAGCGGGGACAGCATCGCAGGGCACATTGTTGTTGGGTATTCCATAGGGGGGTCGTATTTGGCCGCCAGGAGAGGGGGGTCGTATTTGGGCTGGGAAAAATTTATTTTGATAGTTGATTTTTTCTCGCTTCATGGACGTTGTAAAGGGGGGGGGGTCGTACTTGGTCATTGTTGGGAGGGGGGTCGTATTTACGTTTTGGCGTTGTAGGAGTGGTGGTTGACTTTTGGTGATTTTCCTGTTTCATGCGTACTATATGCCCCCCCCCCCCCCCACCCCCCCGCTCGACAGCAAAATTTTTGGGGAAAAGTAGGGAACTTTTCGGGAAATTTTGGAAAAAAAGTGGCAGGAAGTTGGGGAAAATCTGAAAATTTAGTAGGGGGGGTCGTATTGTCTCGCGACTTTTCCTGTTTCACATGTGCTATTTACCCCCTCCCCTCCATCCCCCCCCCCCTGCTCGATTCGATGAGGAGGAACATAGGGCCGGAGGGGGAGGAGGAGCTCCTACCCTACAACCCCCCCCCCCGGGGTCGTACAGACTTGATTAAAATTTCCAACCAATGATGTGCCCTGCAGCATCTTTCACCAATGATGCTATTGTGAGCCTGCATTCTGAGCTTTGCTGGAAAAAGCTGCCCTGGCTGCGGCTGCGCTTCAATCCAGGACCTTTCGCACGCCTCTCGTTTGCAGAGATAACGACGGTATCTCTGCAAACGAGAGGGCGTGCGAAATGATGATCGATGAGTTTGATTTCTTCGACTTATTATACTCAAAGCTGGTCTACCCAAAGTAATTAGTGGTTACCTCTTCCTTATCAGGAGTGCCGCCCTCCATGCCGACGACGCAGGTGATTTTCGACTTCGCGTCTGGCTGGGACACGATGCTTAAATAATCACTTTAAGACTGACTGATTAATCATTCGGCTTCATTGAACTGTCTTGTCTCAACTTTGTATTACCTGTCTACAGTATCCATGATAAGTTGTAATGGCTCTTTGTAGATACAGATTCCGACTAGGTGCTTCACAAGAATGTTGTCTGGATTGTTGCCCTGAATAACAAATTGGATTCAAAAATTTCTGAAAGAAAAGTTTTGAAAAGAAGGTTCAGGGCTACCAGCATACACCTGAGATGTGCACCGCGTAGGCTGCTCCTCATTTCTTGGTGGTTCTAGGATGACCACCAATCGTGCGCCTTTCGGTGTCCAAATCTGGCACATTACTATACTATAGGCCCTTTTGTTTGAACACCAGTCAATAAGTCTACCCGAGTTTCTCGTGTTTTCCAAGCAGTTACGAGAAAGTGTTTGTTCATTTTACCGATAGGATAACTTACACTCATCGCTGCTACAAACATTTCCGTCTCAGCATATTTGTTGACATATAAGTTTACAATATTCGAGCCAATCTCACCAGGGCACGTAGAATGAGTCAGTTTCGGGGTCATCGCGTGCGACAAGATAAACAAAAAAAATTTCAACCCGCCGTACACTATGGGCAATGCCGGTCACTAGATTGGTTCTTCAGCTCCATTGACAACTCACAGATACCGTAACACAACTATATAACCGCCGTGACTCTTGGCGCAGGATCTGTCACGCGCGACGTAGGCTTTGCCCCCCCGATACCTTATGGACTAGTCTGTGTTGAAGCAGTTAAGCTGAGGCTTCAGGCCAATTTCGAGCCGCCCCACCTTCTTGATGATGATGCGGGAGGTGGAGGAATGAGGGAGTGCAGCGTCTGCTGAAAGGATTTTTGACGTGGATAATTGCTGATGGCCAATAACCGTATTAAACTGGTTACACCTGCCATATCCCACGTGATGAGAAGCCCCCCCCATGCTTCGCGGAGCGGATGGCGTGAAGAATGCGTCGACTTTTCTTCTGCCGTTTGGGCTCTCTTTTGAAGCTGCTGTCTGCTTCTCTGACTAAATTGACAGGCTGCGGACAAGTTCAAGTTACTCTCTTTGAACGCTTCCATCTTCTGCTTTTCTTGCCCTACGTACAGTCCTCATCATTACGGACTGTCGGGGCGGCACAGCCGCGCTGCACTGTGACGCGACAGCGGCTGCGGCTCGGTGACGGTGAATCAGCTGATTTCGATGGAATTCGGCTGCAAATTCCACTTTTTCAGCTCTTCAAGCTTCTAAAGTGGAAGGTGAGTTATTCTGAACAATTTTGAATTGTACTGGCTCTGATTTCCTTTATTTTTATGTCGATTATTATGCTCTTTTCCTTGTATTTTGCCTTATTTCAGGCATTTATTCAAATGGCTTACATTCTTTCAGATTCATTCAGAGTCAGTACAATTTAAAATTGCTCAAAATAACTCACCTTCCACTTTCGAAGCTTGAAGAGTTGAAAAAGTGGGAATTCGCAGCCGAATTCCATGGAAATCAGCTGATTCGCCGTCACCGAGCCGCAGCCGCTGTCGCGTCACATTGCAGCGCGGCTGTGCCGCCCCGACAGTCCGTAATGATGAGGACTGTATGGCATTCTACGGTCATTGTGACCTGCCGCGTTTTAACTTTTCACCAATAATAGGTGGCCCACCCACCACGGAGTCCCTTCTTTTGAAAAGGCCCACATTCTGGCTCGCCACATGTTCCAGGAGTATTTTGATGCTCTGGCAGCTGCTTTCCTTTATTTGTTTGCGTTACATGCTTTCGCAACAGGACTATACACCACAAACGTTCAAGATGCCACGTAGCCCTTACCTGTCTAGCTCACGCGCCTTCCCATCTCCAGGACATGCCTGTAACAAGTGCTTCGCCGCAGCGATGGCCTAGTTTCTGCGTGGTGACATCAAGAGCGACTCCTAAGGTCGTCTTCATACTTCGCGATTTGGTCGCGCGATAAAGCGACTGTAACAGACCGCGCTCCACCGCTAATCGTTGGGAGGCTGAGCAACTATTCCAATCACTTGGAATGAAACTTCTTTCGACTTTGGTCAACCCTGATCCAATGATTGGCAGTGAAGAACGGTTTGCCGTAGTCGCGCGAATGAATCACTGTAACCGCGAAGTGTGAGCGCTGCGCAACCTTACCATTGTGAGGGCTCCTGAGGAAGAAAGAACACACCTTGCTGAGATCGATTTTGTGCGAGGCAAATCGCCTCAACCGCCACGTATACCGGAGGGCATTGAAAACGGCAACCATCCATAGAAGGTGGAGAATTATGCATACGATGGTGACAATTTCTAGAGCGAAATCCTGGAATAGAAGGAGTTCACAATAAATAGTAGTTATGCACTCACTCATAAATTAACTTTTTTGTATTATTATTTATTAATTGGTATCGAGTATTTAGTGCTTGTACTTCTCATATGAAGAAGCCACTAGTTCTCCAACAAAGTTTGCTATGACATAATAGTATAGACTTATTCAAATACAAAACAACAACCACCATGAAAACGCATTAAAACTAACAAGAAAATAGAAAAAGTTGCAATATTGAGAAAGCAACTGTTCAAAACGGGCCTACTCTAAGATTTGGTGTAAGCCCAAAGTATGAAGGCGATAGAGAGCTCTCGAATCAGTAAGACGACAGAGACGTACGCTGGAAAGAAGTTCCTGGGTCTGGGCAAAGCCTTCCGAGCAACCTTGCGCCTTGACGACCCTGACGTACAAGTGAGGTAGCGTTCACACTTCGCGACGTTAGGCAGCGTTCAGACTTGTAGCGCTACAACTGTAGCGCTACGATCGTCGCGCTACAGCTGTCGCGCTACAGCCGTCGCGCTACAGCGTCGCGCTACAGCGTCGCGCTACAGCTGTT